AAGTACGTCAAAGTAGACTACTTGAAGTAGCTCAAAGTACCACCCAAGTAGTCCAAAGTAAGAACAAGTAGCTTAAAGTAACTTCAGGTCCAAAAGTCCGCCGCTCCCCCTTTGAATTATACAATAAGTAGGTAGTAGTATCAAAGGAGTGAAGAACATGAAACTGAAATGGAGGTCAAAATGGATCATCTTCCTAATATCTAATTGAAGGACAGGTCACAAGAAAAGTAGAAATATATCAATTGAAATGAAGCACTTTTATAGATAAATGTAAGCGGTAGTTTTTTTAGAGCTGTCAATATTTTAACTGTAGTTTCAATATTTATAGTTCAAATCAGTAATCAACCATGATCTATAGAAAATCTCAAACCAACACTTGTACTGACTCATCGAAGGAGCATTGTTTCAATCCAAAACTGATTTATCATTACGAGAGATCCTCTCATATATTGCGCGTTGAGATTCAATATGAATCTTGGCGCAGTAGAATCAAATTGTTTGATTAAAGCCGATCATATATTTTGCTTCATTCCTTGTTATTCAGTTTACTTTAAGTTCTAGAACATTCTATTTTACTAACTGAAAAAACACTGCATACACAATGTACATTATGCGAAAACAAAAATAAACGAAAAAGAAAACTAGCTGTCGAAAGTCTTCATTGATTTTTAGTAAAAGCCGAGGTTCATTGGCAGATTACTGCGTATACAAACACTTGATCTATGCCATTATTCTAGTAAGAAAAGAAAATAATTTAAATTAAATGCTTCTTAATACTGCGACCTTGGAGCTATAAACATATGTAGTTCAATTTTATGTCTGATCTTCATAGGTTAGAAAAACTATTCACAAATAAAAAGTTGATTAAATATACTTCACACTATGTGTCTGAACTATTTCAAGGCAAATAAAGGACTAATACTTTCTTTTTTATCAGAATCATCAATTCGATCAACTTTTCAATGCGATACAGTTTCAGAGTCTAAAAAAGGTCAATGTAACATTAGTACCTTTCTGATGGAAGTACAAAGTGTATTAAATATAAAAGCTTCGATTTCTTTCAATCAAACAATATCAAATAAAATAAGTTAAATTCAACTGTTCTTTGATCTTACAAATGGCAGACATTCAGAAATTTATCATGAGTAGAATAAAAGAGCAATATTTTTGAACACAATCACTGTTTTTGACAATAAGACGGTGCTCGATTGATTAATTGTTTTTTTAAACACGACAACATTTAGAAGATAAATATATGGATAAGAATATATAGAACTGATAATTAGGGTCTAGATTTTCTGTCTATTATAGTTCGCAGCAGGATTCCACTCACTTTGAGCTACTGATAATCCAATATTAGTTTCGACAATGTTTTTTATTGGTCGCACGCTTATGTTCACACTTCCATCTGTGTAGACTGTCGTAAGGAATCTTCGTGTCGATAGAATACGTTGCAGAAGACGTGATCTGAGTTCATGTCGAAAAGTTTTCGATATCATGAGATTAGTGTAGAGGGATGCCGATGTACTAAAATATATAAAAAATGGAGAAACCAAATCAGTCAAAAAGTTGTTTAATTGAATCTGTTGTAGAGTCTTATTCCATTTGAATGTTATTGAACTGTATATATTACTGATTAGTGGTGGTATATTCGATAAGCAATAGATAACAACATCCACTAAAAGCATTTTCAACAACTGATAATCGTGATGTGTGATTCGAACACCCATCTGTCTAGCGGCTAGAGAACGACTAATATTAACATTTTCTGTGTTCATAGTAGTCTGTCGAGTATGCTTTTGTATTTGTCGCAGATTTTTGACAGCAAGTATGCTGAATACAATCATTATGACAGATGGCAACACTGCTCTAACAAGTACAGAATAGCCAGCACTAAAGTACAGATATACCTCATGAACAGTGCATCTACCATTGTTGATTATATAGAAAACAAGAACATGAATCGATATAAGAATCCATTAGTCAACAATGATTGCGATGACATAAGCGGCAGTGCGTAGTTGGGTAAAATTTCGAATGCATACATTTTGTGGACACATTGCATAACGATCGACAAAGGCAAATGCAAGAATAAATCGAGCCATACACAAAGATGATGACAGAAAATATGTACGAAACTTACAGTATGGTATAATGTATGTCGTTAGATCCTTGTAGTAGACAGAATACAAACTTGTGCCTATCCCAAAATCAAGAAACAGAAGGTATGCAACAGACGCAGCAACAAAATACATGCTGCAACTATTGGAACGTAGTGTCTTTTGCAGAAATACTAGGCAATTGAAAACATTTCCAGCAGTTCCGAAAATGAGAAATATCGGCATCGAAATCAAACTCATTTTTCGTTGAATGACAACGAGTGCTGGAACAAATACTGCTGTAGAATTGGACATTGTATGAGTTAATTCGTGAATGGTATATAATGTGTAAATTCAAAAGTGTGCAAAACCGAGAAAATATTTCATTACTTTTTGCACTTGGATAATTTTTTCTTTTCTGACAAACGTCAATACCAGCCTTCGCCAATCACAGAATATGTATTTTTTAGATAACATTTAGACATTTAGATCACTACTGGTTGAGCGAGAAATCACAAAACAAAAATTTTCTGTGATAACATCTTTTTGCTAAAGTTTCTTCATAATTCAACTTCAAATATAAACAGAAAACACGAACAAACCCTAATTTGAAAGGTAAGGCTAAGATCTATTCTCCATATGCACCGATATATCGTTGATCTCAGTACTCTTGTGTTTGAGTGCATTGATTGTTTTCAATGCGTATTTCCAAGTCAAAGCGTTATTTAGAAAAATATCGTTCCAATACGTCTGTAAAAACAACCGTTTTTCTAAAACAAAATGCTATCAAGAAGCTTGATTTAAGAGGACTTTCTTTCAATGTGTTCTTTTTTTATCGAAAATATGATTTTTTCACGAACAACCTAAAACAGTGCTTTTTTTTTAATTAATGTTTTTTCACGAAAAACGTGTTTTATCACAGTAAGTTTTTCTTTTATCCAAACGTTTATTTTGTTAAACAAGACATAATAAAATTGAAAATAAAACCATTTTGATAGATCGTTTCTTTTATTTCAACGCAACAAAGCTATACAAGCAAAGTAACATAAAAGAGCATTCATTGGAAAATTTAACAATTATATCGACGTGATATAAATTTTCGAAGAACAAGAATGAATATTACTGTGCAGAAAAATTTCTGAAACTTGAAAATGACAAAAAAAAGCTAAAAGAAAAGGTATTCTTGCTAGTTTATTTCTATGGAACAAAATAATAAAAAGCTTGACTTTTCAAGTTGTTACTGGATTTTCTTCAAAGCCAGAAAAAAGTTTTATGTTTTAGTGTATTATCGATTCAAATTAAGGTCAAAAAGTGAAAGAATAAACAAACAGTGCTTGTTTTGTTATTGCTTCATTGCCTGCTCTATTTTTGAAATATTATTTGGGTCGATCATTTTCAATCGTATATGGTTGTGTTTCGATCGATGATAGAGACAAACAGCGAACGTTTCTTGAAGTCATGTATGTCGCCATAAACGAAGATTCACGGTAGATTATGCCCGCCGTAAACAATGCTTTATGATGTAGTACGAACATCGTAAATAATGACCATTGAAAATTGCCGTTAACGATTCGTGTAACAATACGGTGACTGTAAACACTCATCGGATAATATCGTAAGGGATCGTATGCATTAGCTATAAACAATTCAATAGCGGATTACTAATTGATCTTGTATCTTATCGTAAGCAGCTGTTCACGTTGGCGAACTGCTTGTATTGAATGTAAGCATCATGTGCTCCTGACCAATTAAAGACGTCGCTGCATAATAATGCTTGTATATCAACTAATTAGTGAGACAGTCGTGAATTGTGGTTCATACAATATTTTTATAGTCCTTACCATTTTTAGAACTGGGTGTGGATGTGCGTATGAGTGTGAGTTTGAGGTGTAAATATGACTACAGTGTGAAAGTGAGTATGGGTTTTCTCCTTGTTTACCAAGACCGACATGCAGATCACACAAGCATTCGCACACTCACTCACACCCACACCCTTGCCAGTAGGAGGCCGCACATTTATTCTCAACCTATAACTGAACATATAGTCCTAGCTTCGCACTTTAAAAAAAAGCACAATAAAACTATTTTTTTAAGTATGCAATTTGTTTTAATTAGGATTCAATTCTAATGATATGTCAATAGATAAGGACATGGTTGATTGTTTCAGCGTTGACACTTTGAATGCATCCACATATACACCAGTTGTATCTACTAGAATGGTTCAAACACAACATAATGAATGATTTCTATATTAGACTCATTGGAACTGACATTTTAATTTCAAAGCCTAGCTACATGACTATTAATACAGAATTAGAACTTGTTCTTTATATCTAATCATTATGGGACATGACGACTTCTATATTGAGCCAATTTGAACTTCTTTTTCGAGCCAATTGACTTAAAATCATTAATAGAAGATTACATACCGTTGAAAGTTTAATCATAAAATTCAATTTCGTTCGCTCACAATTTTTATACTCGTCATGACTTACACTCGAATAACAACATGAAATTCTCACATTCTATTATTCAACTCATTTCTATTAATCATTTTCAAGAGCGCTACTTATTTAGCTATAACTTTGAAATATGATTCATCACCTGTCAGGTGAGCATGCACGATAAAGTAATTCATTGTACTTTAACATCTGTAACGGTCACTAAAAAAATCGGGTTCTTTTTTCTCGCTTGTTCGTTCCTCCTTTCCTTCACCCATATTTGCATAGCACGTTAGTGTCATTTCGTTGAGTACTGCAAGAAAAAGAACACTCCATTTGTAATTCTAATGCATTATGTTCACTTAGGTTTAAATTTGTTGAACATATTCATCACGATCATATAGTAGACAAGCACAGCTTGAAGTACGCAACTAATACAGCATTAATATTTCTACTATAAATGAGCAGTGCTTGGTATATAAATGAACCTATTCCACCGAAAGATGAAAGGTTAGTGTACGCTCATGGCACAGTTATGGTTCTTGCTTGGATACTCTTGGCCTCTACAGGTATATTATTTGCACGTTATGGACGTCTACTACGAATTGGTACAAGACGAAAACTACTTGGCAGTATGATTTGGTTTCAAATTCATCGATTAATTCTTTGTCTAGTTACGATCACAACATTGCTTGGTTTCTTTCTCATTCTAGTAAACGAAAATGGCAAATGGGTGAGTGCTGACAAAGATGGACGTCGTATTTTCGCTCATTCCGTGCTCGGTGCTATTATTGTATGTTGTACTTTATTACAAGCCTGGATTGCATTGTTTCGTTGCCGTCCAGATAGTCCATATCGTTCGATTTTTAATTGGCTCCATCGAAGCATGGGATATTTGCCGTTTTTTCTTTCTATACCGACTATTTTTCTCATCGTAGTTGAACCAAAAGCACTACCTATGGAACGGGGTGGTTTTATTGCTATTCTTTCGATTTGGTCTGCCTGGATTGTTCTTGTTGTTATTCTTTTTGAAGCTGTGGAATATCGTGCTCGGGTAAAATCGACGTCCGGAGTATATCGAGTTGGTCGAAATCAACTGATTGATCAAACTTTGCCACTGAGAAAAAAAATGACCAATGACGATAGCACGGATAGCCAGTCTTTGAACAAGACTAAACTCTATTTATTTCTTTTACACATTATTGTGGCTGTTTCTTTAACTATTTCACTCATTGTTCTTATTTGGCGACAGACATAGCTACATATATATCCTATCGACGTTCAATTCATTCAATCCAAATATTGACTCATAGTGATCAAATAAATGTTGCTCAGCTAAATTTGATTTTGTTTTCAATATAATAAATTTAGATCAGTGGGGCAAATGAATCATCCAATGACAATCCTAAACATTTGAGTTACGTGGAAGTAGAATGTGAGTTTGTAGGTTTGGACCGAGTAGTCTAAAAGCGAATGAAGGCAAGACTCACATGCATGTTCATACCTTCACACACACAGTGCTATGAAAATGGCGACAAATCAGGTAGATGCAGATGTGAAGCAAAATGGCTTGTTCGTTTGCAATACCTTGTTTCGTGTATTGTTTTTTTTTCAACAGGGATGTGATAATAGATTTGCTTTATGCATTCCTTTCTCATATTGGATGTATATAAGTTATAAAAACATGTTGCTTGCGCATTGTTTTATAATGTCTTTGTACTTCACAATTTAGAATCTTGATTTTATCGTGCGTCATATAAGTTGCAATTCACTAAACATGGACAAAATGTGTAAAAATAAAAATGCAACACAAAACAGAAACACTCCAATCGCGAGTAAGTTGAGTAAAAACAAAATTTTTGAGATGAAAAAAATAGTTTTCAATTATGTGATGACTGTTTCAGTAAAATTTGTCAGACATTGTTTGATCCTGTCGTTGAAAATGAAAATGAAAAGTCTACACTATTTCAATTCCAATGAAGAGAGAATGACTAATAAAAGTAAGTTACATTGATACCGCATTGCTTCAGTATTGACCAACAAAAGTCCAGTTCTTATTAATCGCATATTGAGCATGTTGTACACAGACTGCTGAGTACCCGTTCCTGCGATAATCATCAACACGATTTGCTTCGACATCATTTTTGTAATACCTCATTGTCGTCGGAATTGTGCCACATTGGTAGCATCGTAGTTGACCTTTTGGAATATTATTTTCTAGGCCAAACGATAAATTATGATTCGTCTTCAAATTTTCAAACTGACTATTAATGTCATTTATCTTGTTTTTCAATTCTTCTAATTTACTAATTTCATGCTTAAGACTCGACTCAATTAGATTCAGATTTGTTTGAATCAACCGGAAATTTTTCAAAAATTTCAGCGTTTCTTGACGTGCTCTTTCACTGTCGCCAAATAGTTCATATTTTTGTATAACGATATGCATTTCATTATTCAGTCGAACTAAATCTGTGTAATTTGAACAAGAGTAGCTTATTTTATCGTTGAATATATCAGGAATGATGATTATTGGAATTGATGAATTCCATGAATCGATTATTGTATTACCATGTTCTTCCACTTGTCTTTCAGTAACATCAAACTTAAAACAGTTATTTACCATTGATTGAGTGATATTATACTGAAACCTATTGACAATGCTTCTACCATTGATACGTTTAATTATTTCGTCATTTTCATTTTTTATAGTTTCAGCTTGCCGTAGAATATCACCCAACGTTTGCCGATTTTCATAAGTTGTCATAATTTACAGGTGTATCTGAATGAATAGAATCAGTTTTTGTTGATGCTTACAAAGTATCTATACAAATTTATTTTCCGTATTTTTTTATTGGTAAAATGGATATGATATTCAGATCACCTGATAAGTATTTGAATGTCGATGCAAATGTGCTGGTGAGACGTGGACGAGAATTTTTTTATTCTCAACACCGAAGTCATCCTTATCTTACTCCTTATCATTCTTCCAAAAAAAAATATACGAAAGCCAAAATAAGCTTTTATATTGAAGTAGGAAATCAAATTTTAAACATGGAGGGTGTGATAAGGTGAATGTGGGTGCGATACGTATCAGAGTGAATAAACTTAGGTATCGGTTGTAGTCTTATTCTTAGCTTCGTCTATCGATCCTCAACAAGTACTCATACTTGTCGAACAAAGAAGGCTCGTTGTAGTTAATAGAACAATTAGTGGTAATGCTAGAGCAGAAATCTTTCTCAAGGATGAAGCAGGGACATGTTTTAACAATGGCATAGAGTGAAGCAAATGAAGCTTGAAGTTTTCAAGAATTTAACTTTGAATTCGTGTTCGCAAATTCACTCTAATGATTAGTTTTACTATAACATTTTTTTGTTTTCACTTCGTCAAATTATAATTTCTCGTTTGTTGTATTGATTGTTATTTATAAATGCATTACATGAAGATTCTTTAAAACCAAATCGTTATTTAGGATTTATGAATATACAAAATCAGGCAGATCTTAAGATTTTTGCACAAAATATTATGCTGACCACTTTTAGAAAAATTAATAGATAGCACTCATTAGCGACTAGGTCAAAATGGAAAATATTAAAATGGCCAACACTATGGACCAATGAGCTGCAGTTTTTCTACAACATGAAACTTCCATATTTTACCAATACTCAATCCTTTTGGTCCGCCATTACAACTCTCCCGATGCCTCGATTTATTTCGCCGCATTTTCCTTAACTTGGCACGACACAAGACGAACATATGGCTCAATAACGTTGTAAGCTATTATTCATTTTTATGTGAAAATATCTTTGCAACTGATTTAGCTATAAGACAGCGTAAACAAGTGCGCTAGCATATTGATTGTAAAAATCAAGCGATGAATCATCCCCGTCAGCTAGTAGTAGATCAAAAGAAGAATGTTGCTTGAAATTCATGCATATAATTTTTTAGGCATATGTCTGATGGTTATAATTAACTAAAACTAATCATTCAAGTTAATGTTCGTGAGATTTTGATATTTTTGAACAGTGAGTTTTTAAAGGTTTTGAAACTGAGTATTAGTCTTATACATCTCTGAGTTTATTGTTAAGATATTTCACAGTTCAATTCTGTCACAACCGTTTATGCTCTTTTTAATTTTATCTGAAGATTCAAAATAAAATAATATTAGAAGAAAAAAAAACAATAAAGAATATGAGACGTTTATCAGTATTTAGATCACTATTAGAGAAAAACTATATGATTTAGATAGCTTTTCGAACTAAAATGCCTTTCAATTTTCTTATTTAAAAAAAAAACATTCTAAAAAAGAAAGAAAAGAAAAGAAATTTAATATAGCGGATCGAAGAGTTCTCTCCAATCAAGCAATAATAAATTATAGAAAAATCTCTTGTTCGAGATTCGTATTGCAATACTTTATCTGATATACTTTAAACCATTCATTTTTGAAAATTCAATAGGTGTGATACCTGAACAGTAAGATTGATGAACATTTATATCATAACAAACAGATGATCAAGGATGTAGAAATATTTTAGCATCATTTTCAATATATATTTTCTCACTCAAAATTTACAAATATTTAGATAATAATATAAAATGAATAGAAGATTTCGATGTGGTCGTTTGGTCTTAACAAAAAATGGTTTAATTAAAAAGGTCGAACTTGAAGATGGTGGTGGTACTCGGTTTTGTAATTGGGAGCCGATCAATATGGACTTTGAAGATGTTCATCATCGCTTACTTAATATTTTTAGTTTAGGTGAAATGAAAAATATTTGAAAAATTTAATATTTAAAATTCTATTGATTGATATTAAAGGCGAAAGTAAAAGCAAAACATTATTATATGATTTCCAACGTCAACCATTAGATACTACTCAATATAAAACATTTTTGGAATATTTTAATAAGAATGGTCTAAATTGTAATAGTACAGTTATATATATTTGCATTGATCAAGGTTTATTGAATTATATTCTCATTAATATTTTCATATAACTATCTTTTTCTTTCAGGTACTGATGATGATAATTCAACGACATTAACAAGAATCAAAACACCATCAAAGTCAGATTCATTAAATCCACAACAAAAGTAATGGAAATCTCGAATAATATATTGTTTTTTTTGAATTTATTTTAGTAGAATATCTATACAATCAGAAGCTACATCTACAATAACACCAGTTAAAAATAAATATGTTGATAAATATGAAGAGTCGGATCAAGAACAAACTTTTCGGTAAGATATCTTTTTCTTTTTTTTTTTGTATATTGAAATGAAAGAAAATTCTTTTTTTAGATCTTCATCTGGTAATTAATTAATAATTGTCAATTTATTTAATAAAATTGTTTTATATTTAGTATATACATTTGAAAATTCAATTAATGATTTAGTGAATAATATTCACAGCCTTATTAGTCAAATTGGTTTTGATGAAACTTTGATTCAACTATTTGAATCTATATGTATAGTTCGTGGATATATTCATTCAGTCATTAATCCATTACAACAACAAATGAAACACTTGAATGAAAATTTCAAATTAATTAATAAATCTGAAATGATATTATATTCAAACTGTTTAAATAATGTTTCTAATATATGTCAATCAATAGAAACATTAATTAAATCGAATAAGAAAAAATTTGATCATATTGAACAATTTTCAATGATTGTAAATTCATTTTTCAAACTTCATGAAAATTTAACGGTATTTACTTGTTTTAAGTAATAGAAAGAATAGAATATACACTTTACCGAACCGTTACCAACTCATTGTTCATTCTTGAAAACTATTAGGAAATATTGAAATAAATAAAACTAAACATTTCATGCTTTGTTTGAACAAAAGAGAGAGAGGAGAATTCATGGGTCTATAAATTTCATCAAACGTTGCAGATGTCTTAGATCTTCTTCACTTTTATAGATATTTTTTAACCACTGAAACTGATTAGATTTTTTTCTGAGAATTTCCTCGTAAACTCAGTGAGGTTCTGCTATTGGAGACGTAAAAATTGATATCTCTACCATATCCTAGCATAGATATATTGATATGTGCATAATTGATATAATGAAATAAATATATACAAATGACAGTGGAAATATGATAGACATACGACATAGGCCGATGCTCTTGTGTGGATGTTGCTATAAGAGATGAAAAAGAAAGAGAAAATAAGTTTAAGTGTATTCAACTAACTGAATAATGTAGTCAATCACACAGCATTGGTTTAATATTTCTATCGTCTGTAAAATACTGAATATCGTTTGTGTTTATATAATTACTTGAATAGATTCACTTGAAGATCATTTGGAGAGATAGAGATGTACGACTATTTCTTCAATATCTCCTATACTGGGATTTCATTGAGTTTTCGAAAAAATCCACAGAAGAGATCATACACTGAAATTCTATTTTTTTGTCTCAATTAAAAGAGTACTTTTTACAAGACAATTGATTTTGTGTAGTATATAATCGCTTGTTGGAAAAAAACAAACAAGTACTGTGTTTCATGTCGTAGAAATCTTAAAATGTCAAAGACGACATATTTCATCTTGAAACTTCCAATAATATATATGAAGAGAAGAAAGATATTACCAGAAGCACGTACACTACTTTATAGAGTTTCTATAAGAAGTATATTTCATAATAATGCTTGAAAAACGAAACTCTTATCAATCATCAATGTTTTATTATCCATTAGTACGATTTAAGAATCAGTACTAATTAATTTCAAGATATTAGGATAATTTCAGGCGATTCTGAAATCTTTTTTGTTTCTGCATTAGAAATCTAATTGATAGAAATGATTATAAATTAGTGTCATTTGAGGTAGTGTCCTTGTAATTATATATTCTAAAACAGTACTAAAGAATTTTGATTTCAATACATTACTTCTCATTTGTTTTCAATGTATTTAAATACGCGCAAAATAGTCAAATATTTTGTCGAGAAATTTTCCATCCATCTCTTATTTCTAGTAATTTTCTCTTTAGATTCTATACAATCAATGGTTTGAGTGTGTCGAAAAAAGTAATAACAGATCTAATACACCTTCAACTTCATTCATTCATCCAGTTGAATCAATACCATCACCATCTTCTCATTCAAATATACAAGTGTCAACTAAAGATCATTATGAAATAAATGAAGAAAATTCTAATAAACGATCACAAACATCATTGCCACCATCTCGTCAAACATCGTCATCATTAGCTCGAGAACCATCCGATGATGAAACTGATGAAAAATTTCGTTTATTTCGACAAGTTAGTTAATCTAAGTTTAACATTACTTTTTACATTCTTTTTTTTTTTGTTCTATTTAGTTATTTAGTCGTTTAAGTAATTTATTTCATTTACTCACTAGTCAAGCTTTACTATCATATAGTGAAATGGTTGACTTAACAGTCCACGAACTAAAATCTTTACGATCAAATTTAGAACTATGCAATTATAATTCAATACTTGATGCAAAAAAACAGATTTTATCAATACGAGAGAAATATTATAAAGAATTTAGTGAATATTTTTCGGAAGACTCTAAATATAAAACTAGTACACAAGTTACAAGAGCATATGATTTTATAATGAAAGCAATTCAGCGTTTATTAGGATCACTTAATGATTATCAATCACAATTAGAGAATAATAATGAAAAAGAAGAATCACATCGACCGTCAACTTTTTCATCGAAAGACAGCCAAAAACAATATCAACATAATAATTCAATGCAATACTTTAAAAGAAAATCAGCAAATTTTCATATTCATAACAATAATAAAAGACTAACTGCATCATATTCATCGATTGAATATCGAACTTACGTAAAAAACGATCGACGAAGAAATGAAAGAAAACAATATAGCTTTCAATAAATTCATATACTGATTTGTTTTTTGTTCCATTGAAAGATTTTGTTGTGTTTATTCCGTTTTTTATATAAAAAAGAGGAAATAAAAATGAAGCCAAAGATAGAACATTATCTTTTTCAAATATTTCAATCCTCTTTTTTTTTTTACATAATATTCATTGAAAGGACACTTTTTCATATTTTATCTTTTTCTCTCTTACAGCGCATCTTTCTCTACTTGAAAGTTAGAAGATTCACTTTTAGAGAATGATTCATCAGAAAATTGTGAAAGTTTTTCGATACATCGATCTTGATACGTAGAGCATGAGTTGCTATAGACAAAATCAAGAATTCCAGAAAATCAAAACACTAGTTGTTTAGTATCTAGAACGAGTGAATAAAACTTTGCTTACACTAAATATAATGGTAGAACAAATAATTCTCTACAAAATGAGATGGCTCCGAGATAGATTAATCTTACAGAAGCTCCTAAAGTCATTTTTTTTTCTAATCTTCTATAGAAAAATCATCTTTTAGTCTTCAATCACATTTCTGTATCTTAGCTCAAAAAAATTGCAGAGAACTCGATGATGTCTCATTTTGTAGAGAATGGTTTACTCTATCGTTTTACGTAGACTAAACAAAATTATACTTACATGTTCTATATACTGAAAAACTAGAGATTTGGTTTTCTGAAGTCACCATCTTTGTGACTCTGATAATAATTTTTATTTTCTTGTATTCTTATTGGAAATGTTTTTTTTTTAATATTCTAATCACTATTTGCATTCTTTCTAAGCTTACAACTGCAGTTAAAAAACATTGGAAATAACCCATGTTGAATAATAATAGTACTTACTGTATATACAATATTCCTATATTATCGAGTTTTGCTTGTTACTGAATATAAACTCATGACATAATATGAACGTTTAACAATATCGAACTTTTTTCTTGTTTTTATTTTTTGTTGTATGTGTTTGAAAAATCACAGACAAAACAAGAAGAAGATACACAAAAAAAAAAAGAGAGAGAGAGAGAGAAGACACACAAGGAAAATGACAAATACATACAGATATCATAAGGTTTTTTTTTTTGTTGTGTTTTCATATTATAAAAGAGAGAAGTTTACTTTCAAGTACATCTTTTTGTTTAACTTAAATGGACTTGATATTTGTACATAACAGAAACGCACTTCATTTCATCGACTATCTCTTTTTCTTTTTGTCTTAGTGAAAGAACAAAAAAAAAATGTAAGAATACACAAATTCATACACTGAGACCAAAAGAAAACCATCGGACAGACAAAAAAGAACAAGACAGAAAGAAAAACAAATCATTTGCTGAGACCGTGTCGTTTAGCTTCAACTTCATAGACAATTAATCGCCACATTTTAACAACAAATACTTCTGCTTCATCATCAAGTACAACACGTATATCAGATAAGATTGTTTCAGCACTTTTTTTTGACATTATTGATGAACAAATGAAATCTGTTAATGTTATTTCTTCTTCACCAATATATTCAACAATTTTTTTTGTTACCCATGGTTTAATACGTTTTTCCATTAGATTCTTTAATTTATAAAAAAAAGAGATAATTAGATTTTTAAAGAAACCAAAAAAAAAAGAAAAAATACATACGGAATCGAGAAGTGACCATTCGAGTGGATAATTAAATAAATCTTCTTTTTTTGTTGGAATACTTTCAATTAATTTACGTACAGCTTGACGTTTTTCTTCTTGTGATTGAGTAGAATTAGCATTTGTTGTTGGAGTTACAGGTGTCGGTTTACTTGATGATATTCGATTACTTTGTTCATCTTTAATATGTGTTACATTATGAGAAGTTGGCGTAGTTTGTTGATCAAGTATTGCAGATAATTTTGATTTTTTCTGAAAACTATTTGTATTATCATCATCTTGATCATCACGAAAAACCTAAACATTTTATAGAAATATTTCATTGTATCAATCTATTAAAATAAGACTTACTTCATTAACAGCTAATTTTCGTTTTGATGGTAATTTTGTACCACTTATTGGAGCACCACCAAGAGCAGATGTTTGACGAGGACTACTTTTAATTTCTAAATAAAAGAAAAATAAAAGTCATTATTCATATAAAAATTGATTAAATATTCTACAAACCATTTTGTGGTAAATTTATTATTGGTGGTGATTGATCCATATTTTCAGTACCTAAGAAATAAAATCATATTTATGCTTAAATAGCTTTCATGAGACCACCGAGTATACAAGACACTTGATAAAAAAAAGTTCCTTTGTTATAAAAAAAAAAAAAATTTTTAATAAATAGTGATTTAGTATTTTTCTATTAAAGAGTATCGGAAGCTACAATTTGTTCCAGACATCGATACATTAAATGCAGAAAAAAAAGGAAAATATTTTTTTTATCGACTATTTTGTATACTTTTGATGATCTCATAATGCTTCTCTTAATATTTGTCTTACTAGTATTAGTTGATTCAATTGATGGAAGAGTAATATCTTTTCGATTATTTGTTGATTCATCTTCATTATCTGATTCGTCCGTAGATTCATCACTTGTAGTTCGTGTAAGATCAGCTAAACGTTTACGTATTAATTCTTCTTCTTTTTCTAAACGTCGTTTTATTTCTAATTCAATATCATCAATATTATCTTGAAGTAATAATTTTTGACGTAATTCTTCAATTTCTTCTTTTTCATGATGTCTATCACGTTTATCAGTTTCAATTTCATGTTCACGATCTTTTAAACGACGAGCTAATGGTGTACCTCTACATAGAAAATAGTTTATTATTCATTAAGTCAATGGAAAAAGAGAAAAGAATAGTCTTACTTATAATATTTCGGATCATCATTTTCATCATTATAATCTTCGAGAAATGCCAATAAACGTTTGCCTGCTTTTTCTTCATCATGTAATCGACTTAATTCACGACGTTTTTCAAGTTCATAATCTTCTTGCTTTTTTCGTTCACGTTGTTCCCAGGCTTTCAATCGCTAGAAAATAAACATCATATTATATAAGGTTAAAACAAAAGGATTCGAATCATTTACTTATTCAAACCCTTATGTGAACATATTCAATTTTCATAGATTTTTACATTCAATAAATTAACCTTTGGGGTTTGGATAGATGACTTTTTTTTTCTAGACTTCAATCCTAAACATCGTTCTAATAAACTCAAACTCAATGCAATCAATTTCGTCATACGAAAAATGGTATACACCTGTTTTTATGAATGTTAAGCATCAATACATGTGAACAAGAAGTTATACCCATTAAACTAAATACATATGAGTTTAAAGTATTCAAATCGATGTATCAAGTAACATACTAATAATTGATATGATTTTTTTAAATAGTATTATTCTGATAAATATAAGACGCGTAATTATCAAAGTCACTGGATTCACTAATATTCTGTCTTTAAGAGTTTCTAATAAAATGGGTAACATATTTTATCTCAAGTAATAGAGCAATCAAAAGTGCTATGAAGTTATTCGACTGACTTATGTAAGAGACATCATGAGCTTACATGAAAGTGTTCTACAAGTTCACTATACGATTTCAGTAAAACTAAGCCATTTGGTTGGATGACAGCAAACTCTTTTCAATCGCTCGAAATGTTCTTGTTCCTGCGTTCCTTTTCCCGTTGGCTATAAAACTCATCATTTATCCGATCATGTAATTTATATTCGAAAAAAACTATTGAAGACGAACAAAAACATATATATTTCGAGCGTAGACTAGGGTTTTTCTTCTACATACAATATATTCATAGGTTCGATGATATTAGATAGTTTATTTGAAATACGAAATAAATAATTCTTTCAATAGACGCTCGTAATAATTTTCAAATATGTAATCATGATAACTACATATCATTTTCTATTAATTTATGTAAAATATGTTATTCATCGTACTAAAAACAATGCTTCACAACAGAATACTAGACAATCTCGCTTGTTATATTTATCAGACGAGGTAAATTACCAAACTGATTAATCTCTTTTGAGTCGGTATAATATTAGTTTGTTGCTGTCGAGACTTCCCTCAGAAGCATCAGGAAAACTGATTTTTGAAGTTCAACGTGAAATTTTCAAATGTTTTGATGTATTCGTATTCTGAAAACTATTCAATCTGTTACAGTATATGATCGATCTAAAAGGGCACGCTTTTAACATAGCTATATCTTAAAATATGCACAACAACAAGATCTGAAACTTTAAAGAAAAAACCTTATTCTCGATAACACTCATTTGAAAAACTAACACAGTCTCGACTCAAAAGTGAATAAACAGTTGAAGAACTCTCCTCATGAGCAATACATAAAAGAAATAATATCAACCAATAATATGTCATTTAGCACATTGACTTAAATACTTGAAATTCATAAAACATATAACTAAATGAATGTGACTTCTCATTTACATGTAAATAGTGTTTTATTCAGATTTTCTCTTCCGAAATGACCACTTAAAACTTTCAAAGAGTCAATCTGTTCTTCGGAAGAGTACCTCTCTCACTCGCTAAATAAAATATTACATGTAAACTAATATTTATGGAAAACTAGAATTTCTAAAATATCTGCGTACGATTATAATCTATAACACTCTCATTTGAATAATTAATTTGACTTACTTCTCGATAGCGAAATTCTTTTTCGCGTAATCTTCGTTCTTGTCGTCTTCTTTCATAAGCTTCATCATCATCTTCATCATTAGAATGCATTTTTGGTAATGGTGATTTTGTTCTTGAACGACGATTATATGAACGTGATGATAAATCAGGCGAACGACGATCATAACGTGATGGTGGTGGACTACGTCGATCACTTGTACGACTACGAACAGAATTGCTTGTATTATTTCTTGATAATGAACTACGATAACGATCATCACTAGGCGATGAACGATCACGTCGATTTGAACTACTACGATCATGTTTTGGTGATGAACGATCACGAGATGATGATGATGGTGGTGGTGGTGTATTACGTGAAGATGGTGATACTGAAGATTTATTATTTCGACTGACACCTGCTTCTTCAGCTGCACGTTTTTCACGTTGTAATGCACGTTCACGTTCATAACGATCTTTTCGTTCTTTTTCTGTATTACGCATTTTTGTTTCTTCATCTTTAAAACGATCACGAAATCTTTGAATTTCATTTGTTATTAAACTATCTTTTCCTTGTTCATCATCACGTGAAGCTACGGCTGGATCAGTACGTCGTGTTGTTGAACTAGTTGTATTCGCTACTACTACTGCTGCTGCTGCTGATGATGATGATGATGATGATGCATCTTGTGCAGGACTAACCGTTGTATTTGAAGGAATTGGTGGTTGAGGTACAGGTGGCATATTTGGTATAGGATTTGTTGTTGTGTGTGCTTCACGAGCTGCCGCTTCTTTTGCTTCTAATGCACGTTGATTCATTTCTCGAGTATATTCACGCATAATTGTTTCAAGTGATTGTTTTATTGCAAAGTCTTCACGACGTGTTTCATTATCAATATAATCATCTTCTTCTTCTTCAATTTCACCTTCTTCACCGGATTTTTTCTAAAAACCAAAACAAAAACAAAAAAAAATAATAAATTAAATTTCTTATTTTTTTTCTTCGACTTACATCTTTACTGTTCGATGTTTTTGTTTCATCATCATCTTCATAAACAAATTTAAAAGCTGTTGTATCTTTAGCTGCTTTTTTTGCTAATTCATGTCGTTTCTTTTTTTTATATTCATCAAGTAATGCTTTTGTTTTAGCATCGACTTTAACCTAAATAGAAAATGAAAAACATTTATATTTGCTTTTAAATTCATATTTATCATTTAAAAAAAAGTATATCTATATATATTTATCTCAAAAAATAAAACAATATAATAAGAAATTCTCCATAGAAGGATCCACTCACTCTTGTTTTTATATAAAAGAATTGTAATTTGTGTTCAATAATAAACACTAAGAACAAAAAGATTTTTCATAGAACAAAAATGACTTTATTAATGATGTTTACAAATTGTTACCAGATCAATGTCTGTCTCGTGTTTGAAACCAATCAATCAAGTTAGGAGACACCTAACCATCAACGGAAAATATCCGGGAGTTCTGACATACAATGCAAAACACTTACATGTTTATGTATTTGCAAATAGATGTCTAATATTTGGTAATCCAAAAGAAAAAAAAATAATTGGAAATAAAAAATCACTTACGACTAATTTTTTATCTTGAATTTGCCAACCATTAAGTAAACGTATACAACGAAGTGTACCTTCAGGATTTTCATATTCACAAAAACCAAATGCTAGAAAAATTCGAAGTAAAAATGAATTAAATGAAAAAAAAATAAATAAATCAATATATTGTTTACCTTGAAGTTTACCATTGGCACCTTGAACTCGTTTCCAATTGACAACAGAGCCACAATTCTAAGTAAGAAAGAAAAAAAAAAACAAAAGAATAGATTAATTCATTTTTATGAATGATTTTGACCTATAGCTCAATTATCGCTACGCAAGTTATCAAGAGAGTTGATCTAAAACAGAAATAACTATTCAGGGACAATGTCGATCGTAGTTGTACTTGAAATACCCAATAATATGTATTGCATATTAGCAGAATAATTGGTACTTATTGATGTCCTTCGAAGCGAAAGATAGTAATGATACCTTTTCACGATCGTCCTTGAGTAAAATTTTATCTAGATTCATTGCAATACTTCTATCTGTGAAAGTTCCTACTTGTCAATTCTGCTTCATGAAAATGACATAGCAAAGAATGTGAAAAGTAATTAATCAAATGATTGCTTATTAAGAACAGATGATAAATTTGTCTTTTGCTCTCCTTTAACTATCAACACTAAATGTACTAGATACTTATTGGATAATATTTTACTTACAAAAAGCATTCGTTTGATCATAGCATCGGGTGCTCGTTCAGAAATGCTACCAACAAATACTGTTGTAAGTGTTTGAGGTCGATTTTTCTACAATAAAATATCATATATATATGCAAACAATCAAATAAACAAACTAAACAAACCTTTTCATTTTCTGCTGATTTATGAGTGCCATTGGTTGCCGCTGGTATTCCTGGTGGTGGTGTAGCCATCTAAATAGCCAATAATCAATTAATTTTTTTATCATGTGAAAGAAACGAAAAATACTTACATTAGGTGGTATCATCATAGGAGCACCTGGCGGAAAGAATGGCATGGGAGGTATTATTGGCATATGTGGTGGAAAGGACATTATTGTTCTTTAATTGCTATTGTTATAATACCAATAAAGAAAATTTCGTACGAATATGCACATTCTAGAAACAAAGAAAAAAAACAACAATAAACATTTCATTCTCATTTGTTTCTTATTGTATTAGATGATGATAGAATAGTTCAATTTTTTTTTTCTAAGGCTAATCTATGAATACACGATAAAAATTAATTCGTTCACAGAAAGAAAGAAAAAAGTAATAAAGAAAACAAAAAACAAAACGTCGTTGAACTATAGACGATATAGAACAAAAAAAAAAAGAAAACAAATAATCTGCCTGATTAAATGATGGAAAAAATTACACATTTTTGTTTAACAATATCTTTTTTCATAGGTCACGGTATTATTTGAGATAAGGATAATTTCGATAGGCTAGTACACTTGATAAACCAACAATAATAAGAGCTGGAAACCATTTACGACTATTCAAAAAGCGTATTAACATTAGAATACCGAGACTTGCAGCAATCTAAACAATAATAAATTATTAAAAGACAATTTTTTATTTTTATTTACAGCAAAATTAGCAACATAATTTTGACGTGTAGGATGTGTTGCATTGTAAATAGACCAAGCACCAAAGAAAAGACCTAAATTAAAAAAATAAAAAAATATTTAAATTAATTAATTAAATTATTTTATATCAACATACCAGCTAAAAGTGAAATATTACTACGACGACGAATATAGCCAACTATACCGCCAAGAACTAAAATTTTAATTTTCAAAGAATAAATAATATTTCAAAATAAGTATAACATACGCAATGAAGCACCATAAACAACTCCAAATTGGTCTGTCATAATTTATCAAATAAATAGAAAAGACAAAAAAAAAAATAAAGATTCTTTTCTAGAAAAGAAAAATATTGAATTTTTGTTTTGATTTAAACGAATATTTTCAAAATAAGCAAAAGAATAAGCGTGCACAAATAGTAGCCATATTGGTTATGATGTGTGTTTATTAGGAATACAAAGATGCAGTATGCTCTCTGTCTGTCTATATCGATATATATTTGATGCGAATGCTACACATTTATGCAATTTGAGAAAAAAATTCAATTGGATATATGATAAAATGATTAAATCATGGAACAACCAATCAAATTTTTTTCACTGATTGTAAAAAATCTATTCATCAGCAATCTTCTATCTTTCAGTGACGGATCTAGGATATTGAGAAAGTGGGACGATGATCACAGCCATACAGCATGTTTTGAAGCCTATCAAAGATGGTTATACGGGATAGTTTCAACGGCTACTCTGTCCAGAAATGGACAAGTCAGCTATTTTTCGATTCAAGTCAAAATCCAAGTCAGTTTTTGTCAAATTTTCTTTTATTTGTGAAAAGATCAGAGAATGATGCTTTTATTCTATTTCAAAAGAAGATGAGTTTTATGATACAATGAACGTTGGAACATATGACTTGTTTTTGAAAATGTTCTGTTTGTTTATTCTTTCGAGTTACTAAAGACATAGTTTTTAATTCATATAACCATAGGTTAAAAGCTTTTGTATGATGTTTTCGAACATGTCGAGTGAAATCTGACGTAACATTCAAGACATTAAAAACTCCTTTGGTGTTTCACATAATAAGTATTCAGCCGATCATCTGTTCCTTTCTCTATCATATTCGATATCTTGGAAAAATGTATCACGAGCAGTTTTAAATGCACTCGATGATGAAGACATCAGAGCAAGTGTTGCTTCAGTACTTGAACGTACTATTATTATTTGAACATCTTTTGTAGCTGAGCACAAATTGTTGAAAGAGTTATTTTTTAAATCCATATTAAAATTTAATTTTATGTTACTAAATTTTAACCATCGATTTCATTATTTTAAAATAAAGAAATCAAATATATTTTATTTTATAAAAAAATTATTGAGACGTGATATGACAAATAAAAATTGAAAACGACTTTCAACATATTCGAAATCCTTCATTTTATTTCGAGATAAATTCATTTTGTGAAAATATTTTTGCACTTCTTGATTGTATTTTACTATTACATTTCAAATTAGAAATCAAAACTGCAGTGCATAAAATATCTATATGTATATACATTTTTGACTTGACTTAAACAACTCTGTCTGTATCCAATCGATTAAGTATGTATGTCTAACACATAAATCGAACTAAAAGAAGAGGATACCGTAGCGGACGTGCTTAATGATGAAGTCGTCGAGTTTACTAACTTGAACCAATGCACAATTTGAATTCATTTTTCTTATCAATATCATGATTTGAAACGAATTGACTTGCTGATATTTCCTCTTCTTCATCTTCTTGTTCATTTTCGTTTTGTCCAGTATTTAATAAAAAGTCATTATATTGTTCTGTTTTGATATACACTGTCTACAATAGAACTTCAGTTAAATTTAATAATAATCAAAATTCTATTTTTTCAATAAGAACGAATCATATAGTGGCAAAAATAATATTTTTAATAATGATTAATAAAAGTTAAATTAGCTTATACAGTTGATAAATAATAAACTCTAGTGCGTACTTGATTTGACCATAATAGAAAAAAGACAAAGAACAATAGAGCTGAACACAAGAAAACTATCTTTTGTATAGTGTTTTATTGTTGTTAGCGAATAAACTTCAACATAACAATCATTCAATGAATCAATAAATATTCGATCATTAAGCAACTCAAATTTTATTTTTTTCTCTTTTTTTTTTTGAAATCACTTTCGTCTTTCATTCTTTCCATTGTCAAAGGTGAACATGCTATTTATTTAGTTTTTCGTTGTCGAACAGAATTAAGTGTGTTCAAGTGAGATGTATCATTAACAGTTTTTGGATAATATATTTTTATCTTTGTAAACTTTGGTAACACGACAAAACAGTTCATGATCCAAAAATTTTCGCAGCATCTATCTTATTGTTTTTTTTAAATAAAACTATTCAATATTCCACAATAAAGATTTAATATGCCTCTACAGCATCATATTTTGATGAGAAGCAAATTGGACTTTTCTCATTCTTTGATAGTTTTGCATTTATAAATGACCATGTTGATTCAATAAGACATTCAACTGATTGTGACCCATGAAAATAGGCAACTGACATACTCATTAAAGTTTCTTTTCTTAGTTGAACATTGAAATCAAAGCTATTTTGCAATGGACAAAATGACACTGTCGAGGTTTTTTTTCGAATGTTTGACATTACAACAAGAAAAAAAAACCATAGATCTTTTTTCTAAGATTTTATAATAAATATGTGAATATTAAATAAACAGTTACTATACATGTGGCACCATCTAAATATCGATTTGTATGTGAATGGTTGAAACATTTAACCATCGATGAAAAAGTTATGCTACAAATACAAATATAATGCAAGCCTTTTCTATTTTGATTTCAGAAAAAAAGAAGAAATTATGTTGATGCAAGATATTATTGCACCTGTACAAAACATACATTTCGATCTTGATGAAATAGTATGTTCTCAACAAGGTGCATTACCACTACCATTTCCTAATATGGATAAAGCTAATGTTGGTGTATGTGAATTTTTTCTTCGTTCAAATTGTTCAAATCAACGTTGTCCATTTCGTCATATACATGGAGATAAAACAGTTGTATGTAAACATTGGTTACGTGGTTTATGTAAAAAAGGTATGAAAATTTAAATTGATTGAAAGCCTTTTTTTTTTTTATTCTAAGATTTTTTCTTTTAGGCGATGATTGTGAATTTCTTCATGAATATGATATGGCTAAAATGCCTGAATGTTATTTTTTCTCAAAGTTTGGACAATGTATGAATAAAGAATGTGCATTTCTTCATCTTGATCCTGAATCCAAAATACGTGGTATGTATCTAATAACTTTTTTGAGAAAATTTATTTTTAAAGATATATTTTTTTGCTTTAAGATTGTCCATGGTATGATCGTGGTTTTTGTCGTCATGGACCAAATTGTAAAAATCGTCATACACGAAAAGTTCTTTGTCAAAATTATTTATGTGGATTTTGTCCTGAAGGACCACGTTGTACATTATCACATCCAACTTTTGATTTACCTAATTCAAATGAATATACTCCTGCACAACGTAAAATTGTTTTTGTTTGTGATTTTTGTCATGAAACAGGTCATAAAGCTTCATCATGTTTTAAATTACCATTGGAAGAAAGACAAAAATATCATAGTATGTCATCGAATATTAATACTCAATCACAACAATATAATAGTCGATCAAATTATGGTCAAAATCAAAATATAAATCCTAATCATGATGGTGGATTATCACAACAGTCTGGAAATTTACATCCTCCTGATGAACAACATCCGACTGGAATGGGACTATCACAACCATTTCAACATGATGTGACTTGTTTTAAATGTGGTGAACGAGGGTAAGTTAAGACAGATTTCATATTACCTTATTTTCATTCATCAGTGTCTCTAATATATTCAAATGACAATCAATAAATAGATTTCATCAAAACTTAATATCATTAGTTGTTTCTGATATTGATAGATGAAAATTTAGGAATTTTCAATTTGAATTCAACTTTATAGTTTGAAATATATATGTGAAAATAAGAATTTAGAGAAGTATATTACAATCTCTAGATGATGTGAAGGTTTCCAAAATGATATTATCTAGAAAGAAACCTTGCAAAATGAATTTTACAAATTGAAAAAATGGACTTCATGTTGAGCAAAACTTAATCAGAGAGTGTCGACAATTTAAAATTCGAACAAATTTTTTTTGGCCTTGATTAGACATAGCTCATCAAACTAATTTTAAAAATACTGTTTTTAATGTATATGAACAATGTTTTTGTAGCGAAATTTACGAAAATTAGTGCTTTCATTTGTCATACGGTGAAAAAAACTAACGTACAAATTTGAGACATTGTTTCATTGTTAAGAAACTCGATTTTTTTCGATATGATAGAAAAACTTCATAAATATGGTATCCTATTTAGAATCGACAGACAAATTGACATCGAACAGTATACTTTATACTTAAAACTAATTTTCTTCAATTGCGGTTTCTTAGAGGAACTACAGATCAGATTAACCTAAAAGACCCAGTGAGACGTGTAAGAATCGAAAGTTCGATGCAGAGTTTTCCGCTGACTCAGAACATAAACTTGTATTTTTGGTAATTCGCTATTATATCGGAAAAAATGTTTTTCTCAACAATAACGCAATTTTCTCAAAAATCGTACTTAAATTTTCTTTTAATCATATGACGAGTAAAAGCAAAATCAAATATCGAATAAATATTGAGGATATTGAAGTATGATGCTTTTGACATATTTCAGTTGATGTAGGCTTCTCTGATTTTTGTTAGTCTAATGCTCTAAAGTTTCGCGATAAAAGCATTGTTCACTTACATCAAAAACAACAATTGTAGAAGTAGTTCAATGAGCTCTGTCCAATCACAATAAATAAAAGTTTTACTTACATCATATCGTATTGTCAGATAGTTAGAAAATATTGAGAAAAACATGCTTCTTGACAACTAAATAGTATATAATGATAAAAATGTCTTTTTCTTTGAATGCTTAAAGTTGTTGTTAATTCATCTATTTCAGTCATTATGCAAACAAATGTACACGATCACATGTTCCCTATATACGCAATCAGAATATTCAACGACGATAGTTTATTTCAATTTTCCTGTCTTCTTTTCTTTTCTTTTTTTTGTATTTGTGTCTTTATCTATGTCAACAATAAACAAAGAGCAAATCGTCTCGTTTCTTTTTTGTATAATACGCTAATTTTTTCTTAAATAGCGTTTTGGTTTGTGCATAATGTCATAGTTTTTTGTGTGT